AAAGTGTAAGTATATACCAATATTTGTTGGTGAATTTATAATTACTGTCTCTTGAAATTTTTACTGTGACTTTAATTTAATTTTTGCAAAAATTAGCTCACACATGTAATTACATGCCACGTTTAATAATGCATGAAACAGTCTTATTATGTAAATATTAAATCACAGCATAATTTTGAGACACAAAAAATAATTCCATCGCATAAATTTCCTGATTTACACCTTTTACAGTATTATGTAAATGTAAAAGTTTATGTAGCATCACACCATATTAGCTGTACTATTTAAAATAGATTAGAAAATATCAACAAATTCAATTCCCAGTAATATAAAGAGATTGTGTACATTATGTACATGTATATTGCAATTGATTTAGAAGCTTTTGTTGGATAAATACATATACATGTACATGTATAGTGGTTAGGAGCTTGTGTTGCATAGATATACAGTGGTCATTGATGAGAGGTAAAAGGTTTGAGTCTACTCATTAAGTTCATTGGTTTTGTCAAGTTTTGTTAGCATTTTTAGTGAATAAATGTTAATATTACCAAGCCAAATATTGATCCTTTTGATGAAAGCAGTATTCTGAGAATAATTGCAGATTGTTGTTCTCTTGCTTTTATCTTTAACATCATCATCATAGCTTTTGATTGCATTATTTGCACTGTACTTCCTTTTCATGCCTTGAAAGGGAAATTTTGAGCTTCCTCTTCTAGACCCTTTAATGCTTCTTTTGTATCCTTTAATGCTTCTTTGATTTATTTGTGCCAATAATTCAAATCAAAAGCTAGTCATTACTTGAACTACATTTTGAGTGGAATTTGATAACAAGAACCTCATCTGAGACCATTCACTAGAAACTTAATAATATGTCAGACTGATTTTATCAACATCTCTCTCTGTCTTTTCAGTCATATCTTTTCATTTCTACATGTCTTTGTTTCTGTTTTAAAGTCTTACCTTCATTTCCATGTACATGTATTTATTTCTATTTCTTTGTCTTTATTTCTATTTTTATGTCTTTATTTATATTTCAATGTCTTTATTTATTTATCTCTTTCAGCCTGAGTAGCTCTTTTACATCAGGAGAGATAGTCAATCATCAGAAGGCTATGGAGTATAACTCACAGACTGGGGTCCTACAGTGTAACTTCAACTACATGCAGCTAAGACGCATCAAGAGAAACAGTGACAGGAAATCGACTGAAATTGTCATGGAAGAGAAGTTCACTATTCTGTTTCGTTCAAAGTTCACTATACCCGGGGATGAGCTGGATATCCCTGTCATGGTAGGCCCTGATGTGAGGGGAAGTGTGGGTATTTTGTTGTGGTTTATGGTTTTGATATTTTCATGTTTTATCTTACAGAATCTAAAGTATTAATTAAATTATGTGTGTATCACATGTGCATGTACATGTACATTAAATATCACATACACATGTACACGTATTATTATTGTGTATAGTTTCAATTAGCAGCTGCAGTGGTCATTGGCCTATTATTGAATTTATAATTGAGTAACAAGTTAAATGAATTATATATGCATGTACATTGTAGATGTATGTGAGGTAATAATGATTTATTTAAACAATCCCAGCTATTGTTACACTGTCATTGACCACATTACTAACAGCTCTGTGTGAATGATCCTTTATTGTATTTATATTGTATGTTTATACCTTCTAGTGTCAAAGCTTACCAGTGGTGGTTATAGTCCATGTCACTCAGCAGCCAGCAGCAGAGGCTACTATATTCTGGGATAACTCGTTTGCAGAACCTGTTAGTCCAGTTTTATTTGGGATTTTGTTTATCGTCTCTTATGTAGAATCGAGAGCCGTTTGTTGTACCAGAAGTAGTATCATGGCCTAGGGTCTCTGAAGCATTGAATCATTACTTTCAAACTATTTCAGGCAGAGGACTCACTCCTAGGAACCTTGACTATTTGGGACGTAAACTTCTTGGAGTTGGTAAGTATATAATGTACATGTCTATCATTCTCCCTCTTTTGATTTGTATCAATATTTTGTAAAAGGGAATAGTGTCATGAATATACATGTACATGCATGTATCTTTTATATTTTTTGGGGGATGCATGTGTATGTGTACATGTATATTGTGTGACTTAAAATTTCCAATAATTGTACAGTATGCATGATAGTTACATATACATGTACAGGTACATTGTATTTGCACATGTACATGTAGATTATGTTGACTTTCTATTTGTCATTAACAGCAATAGTATACATAATATGTAATACGTACATTATCATGTACTGTACATGCTC